TTGTCTCTAAGTCGCTACTGGATTTGAATCTAAGTGTGAGATATCTGGGCTTGGAATGCTTCAGTTGCATTTCAGGCTGAGCCAGCAAAGGTTTTGGAAACCAATTTCCAAGGGAAATTCTCAACATGACAGTCTGATGTGGGACAGAGCGGGCGGATGGGTGTCGTGGTTTCGTGTCGTGGTGAAGTGCGCGGACTCTAATCTGGGAGAACCGGGTTTGGTTCCCCACTCCTCCACTTGCACCTGCTGGATGACCTTGGGCAAGCCGTAGTTCTGATAAGAGCTGTTCTTTTAAAAGAGCAGTTTCTGTCAAGAGCTCTCTCAGCCCCACCTCCCTCACAGGGTGCCTGTTGTGGGGAGGGAAAGGGAAAGGAGTTTGTAAGCTGCTCTGAGACTATGAGTGAAGGGCGGGGTATGAATCCAATCTCCTCCACTTGCACCTGCTGGATGACTTTGGGCAAGCCATAGTTCTGCCACAGCTGTTCTTGAAAAAGAGCACTTTCCGTCAGAGTTCTCTCAGCCCCACCTGCCTCACAGGGTGTCTGTTGTGGGGAGGGGAAGGGAGAGGAAATTGTAAGCCGCTCTGAGACTCCTTTGGGTAGTGAAGGGCAGGGTATAAATCCAATCTCTTCTTCTTTTACCTCGCAGGGTGTCTGTTGTGGAGGAGGGGAAGGGAAAGGAGTTTGTAAGCCGCTCTGAGACTCCCTTGGGTAGTGAAGGGCGGGGTATAAATCCAATCTCTTCTTCTTAATCTATTCCTGGTCAGCCGTAAACCCAACGTACTATGGGGAAGACGTGGAATAAAAACCACTAGAACACAAAGCCATAAGTTAGTAGTATGTTTTGTTTAATTTGAACGATTTAATTACAAGTGGAGTAATTCACCATTGACCCTTAAAACAGCAATTCTTTGTGCTAGAGTTTATTCTAACAGGCTGCTGGAGTTCACATCTGGTGAAGTCGGAACTAAGTTTTTGTGCGACTGGAACGTCTGTTTAATAAGGAGGCGTGGTTTCTGAACAGCCACTGGATGAGAAAAATAAAAAACACAAAGGAAAAAAATGAAGCTAAATTATTTCCTCCCTCCCCCCCGGCCCCGGTCTTCCTCTTGGAAAACATCTTTGTATATGTGCGGGCTTACAGATCGGAATGTGTGTATGGAGCGCACCAGACGTCTACACCGTGGGGAAAATAACATGTAATACTCAGCAAAGTTTGATTAAAGGAGTTTGTAAGCCGCTCTGAGACTCCTTTGGGTAGTGAAGGGTGGGGTATAAATCCAATCTCTTCTTCTTCTTCTTAATCTATTCCTGGTCAGCCGTAAACCCAACGTACTATGGGGAAGACGTGGAATAAAAACCACTAGAACACAAAGCCGTAATTTAGTAGTATGTTTTGTTTAATTTGAACGATTTAATTACAAGTGGAGTAATTCACCATTGACCCTTAAAACAGCAGTTCTTTGTGCTAGAGTTTATTGTAACGGGCTGCGACTGGAAGGTCTGTTTAATAAGGAGGTGTGGTTTCTGAACAGCCATTGGATGAGAAAAATAAAAAACACAAAGGAAAAATATGAAGCTAAATTCTTTCTCCTTCCCCCTCTGGCCTTGGTCTTACCTCCTTCCGCTTGGAAAACATCTTTGTGTATGTACCTCCAAATGCCAGTTCATTTTAGCCAAACATTGATCTTGAGCTGGTAACCTGTGAGGACGGGAGGGTGGTGGTGGTCTGCTTTAATTTGGGCTCAACAAAGACTTCTAAATAATGGTCTGGACTCTGGAATCAGTTCTGGAGAAGAAAATGATTGGGCTGGTCACTGATTCAGACACCATTTGCCTTCCTGCTTGTCGTCCAACCATTGGAGGCTATGACTCCCATCCTCTTGAAATCATGCTATGCCCTCCTAGAATCATAGAGTTGGAAGGGACCTGCGGGGTCATCTAGACCAACCCCCTGCACAATGCAGGAAATTCACAAATACCCCCCCCCCTCCCAAACACACATCCCTAGTGACTCCTGTTCCATACCCAGAAGATGGCAAAAAACCCTCCAGGATCCCCGGTCAATCTGGCCTGGAGAAAAATTGCTTCCTGACCCCAAAGTGTGGTGTCGTGGTGCAGTGGTTAAGTGCGTGGACTCTAATCTGGGAGAACCGCGTTTGATTCCCCACTCCTCCACTCACAGCAGCTGGATGACCTCGGGCAAGCCATAGTTCTGTCAGAGCTGTTCTCTCGAGGACAGTTCTGGAACGAGCTCTCTCAGCCCCACCTGCCTGACAGGGTGTCTGTTGTGGGGAGGGGAAGGGAAAGGAGTTTTGTAAACTGCTCTGAGACTCCTTCGGGTAGTGAAGGGAGGGGTATAGATCCAATCTCTTCTTCTTCTTCTTCTTCTTCTTCTTTTTCTTCTTCTTCTTCTTCTTCTTCTTCTTCTTCTTCTTCTTCTTCTTCTTCTTCTACCTCACAGAGTGTCTGTTGTGGGGAGGGGAAGGGAAAGGAGTTTGTAAGCTGCTCTGAGACTCCGAGTGAAGGGTGGGGTACAAATCCAATCTCCTCCTCCTCCTCCTTCTTCATGGCAATTAGCATTTCCCTGGCTATCAGGTTTTGTCAGGCCGCAAATTTGCTTAGCTGATTCCATCTGGACTAGAAATTTGCTCGTCTATAAACAGGATTCTTGGGATGCTGAGTCTGGTGCTCAAAACCCATGCAATACGCTTGGTGCAGTCACCGAATGCACACAGAGCTGCACAGAAGTGGCGAACTCCGATGTTCGAGCCATGAACTCATCAGGGGGCCCCTTCAGCCTCACCCCACTATTGGGAGATGACTACTGACCAAAATTATAGGATTGTTGCAATGATTACTGTTTCTAGGTATGTGAGATGCTTTACATACTCAGAAAGCACCAAAAAAAGGATGACTCTTGTTATCATAGAAATGTAATTCAGGAATGATCCTGATGTACCCAAAAATCTACTATGTGCTTACGAGCTTGGTAGCTTTGCTACTGGGAGTTTATGGCTGGTGGGGGACACATGTCCCTTCGCCCCAGTTATTGCTTTGCTTCCTGGTTAAGAACCAGAGGAGCCACCACCAGGGAAACACCGTCCTTGTGTGTATGTGTGTGTTACAGTAGAGCAAACTTGCCTGGTGGTCACCTATGGCAAGTCGAAGCAATCTGTCTGTGACTAAGCAGGAACGTCTTTGCAAATTAGCTGGTTCTCATTTTTCTCCCTGCCCGCGTCACAAATAACTAACATAAGCAGACCAGTAAACATTTTTTGGTGGTTGTAGATTTTCTGGGCTGCGTGGCCGCGTTCTTGGCATCGTGTTACCTGACGTTTCGCCAGCAGCTGTGACTGGCATCCTGAGAGGTAAACACAGAAAGATGGAGTACTCTCTGTGTCAAGGTGAGAAGAATAAATGGCAGGCAGGTCATTTCTACCTACTCAGGAAGGTGGGGTAGGGCGGAGTCATTATCTTGTAGGAGTTCCCCAGTCTGTGACATGCTAATGGAGGAGCTTTCCTGAGGAGAAGAACATTTATTATTTATTTATTTATTTATTTCGATTTATAGCCCTCCCTCCCCACAAAAGCGGGCTCAGGGCGGGTCACAGACAGGCATACGACAGCACATAAAAACATTTTAAAAACCATTTAAAACATTATACAACATTACAAAATTACATATATAAAGTGCTCCAGATATTCCGCAAAGATGACGAACTTACCTGCTGCTCTACTAGCTCAGTGTCCTGTGTTCCGGACAATACTGGCGTTCTGTCTGCCAGGGCCAGGTAATGATGGTACCGTAGTGGCGGCTCCTACTCAAACCCCTGGCGGAAGAGCTCC